TTTGTGATCCCTCTCATCACATTCATCTTCTGTTTTAGGTACACTAATATTGTTTACTAATTTAGTATGAATTTTTGGACCTTTGGTGACAATAATCCACATAGCATAATCAGTGGCTTGAAGGTATAGAGTCATCTTATCTTTCCAATGACTATAGTTGTTTCTATCAAATAGTGGTGGCCTATTGGTGGCTCGTCCTTCATCAGTGCTAGCTAAGGTTGTCATAGATCAAAACTATCAGATGGTTAAATCTTAAACAAAAGTCTGATACCAATTGTTACCCAAAAGACAACCTAAAAGGGGGAGTGAATTAGGTTTTTACAAATAAAAATAATAATACCCTAATAAAAATTATGACTAGCACAATAGATAAATATAGTTAATGAAATAAAAATAATTAAAACAAGTGTTCTAACAATTATGTCAATTAATGAGTTTAGCACAATAAAAATATGAAATATAGCTATGGCAATTTAAATAAAATAAAGAGATAAAAGAGAAAGAGGCAAACAAATTTACAGTGGTTCGGCTTCAACTCGGCCTACGTCCACTCCTTGAGCTTCACTTGAGATTTTCCACTATTCTCTAGCCTCACAGGGTGCTGGCAACCTTTTCACAGATGGAGCAATCCTCCACGGATTTTACACAGATTTTCTAAGTCCAAAAAAAACACTGAGAGTACTACACTCTTACAGAATTGAAAAGAATGTGTTTTTGCTTTCACAGAAAGTTATAAGAATTATCTCTTAAAGATAGATATAAAAATGAGACTCTGATTTTTCTGTAACCCTCACACAGGAAAGATGGGCTTAAAGCTATACGACTTAATATATAATTTCTGAGAGAGGATGTAAACAAAAATTGAAGAACACTTCTCAAAAAAGATTTCAAAGAATAGATGAAAGTGATTTTAGATCAAAGAATATTTTCTGGTTTCTGTAACTTGTTTGTAGTCACTGTAACTTGTTCATGTCAGAGACTTTGGTATATATAATGAAACTTATAGCCTTTGTATTGTAGCGATCCTAATTTTGACCCGGTCAATTTCGGGGGTCGCCGAAAGCAAAAATGCAAAATGCATTTGAAATTGCTTACGGGAAAGTGTATTTCATGCTCGAGTGACCTTATTATATTAGTCCGTAAATTAGGGTTTCAGATCGCTTTTTGCAACCCCCTCTCTCTCTAAAACTCTCCAAATTTTCAGGTCTAGAGCTTCTCTCTCTAGAAGTCATCTTCTCTCTTTGATTTCTCCAAATCCATTGGGATTTAGGCTTAAGTTCTTCACCAGAATTGGTTATCACCTCGAGGGCTTCATTGTGTGCGGTGGAGATCGAGTTTCGACACTGTAGATTTTGGGGTTTCATCTCAGATTCTCTTCAAAACTTGAGGTAAGGATTTTCTACACTCTAATATGGTTTTTAACTTAGTTATTTGCTATTGTGTATAGATGATGAGATTTGGTTGTAGTTTGAACAAATCTAGGATTTGGGTGTGAAATGAAAAGAGGGGTTTTGATGAGTATGAGGTAAACGAGTATGATGCTTGAATATAAGATCATGTTGTACCAAAATAGTTGATTTTGGTGTTTGGGTTGATATTTGGTGAAAGGGGGATTCTGTCCTATTTTGATTAAATTATTATTTTGCATAAATAATTGGGATTAACATTGAAAACATGAAATTGGAAGGTTGTGATTATAAATGGTGATATTGGATATGTATTATCTCACCTATGGAAGTTTTGAATAAACTATTTATTTTGATATTGAACATCTCTTTAAAAATAATTGCATTGGGCTATTGGTGGAGGATAGTTATGATTGTTGTAGAAATTACATGAAGATTAGGTGATTTAATGCTAATCCATTGTTGGTGTCATTGAATATGACCATGTTATAGATACATTGTATATGTATGTTTATTGGGAGGAGAAAGGGGATGTACTCCATATGTGATTATGTTTATAAATACACTGCATATGTATATTTGTTTAGGAGGAGAAAGGGGATGGACTCCATTTAAAGCAAGTTGGCCGGAGTGTCCTGGGTAAAAGACCCGAAATTTTATATATAAATGGGTGTCAATTCCTTCGGATGAAATATCCGTAAAATGGCAGGTTTAAAGTATTTATGTGAGTTTTGCATAATAGGAAAATCATTGAGTTGTAGTCTCATTTTGATTGTTGAAAGATAACGAATTTAACTCATGAATTGAGCAGCATATATGAATTGGAAATGAAATTAAAGGGAAAATGAAATAAGGTAGTGGCATGTGGATATGCAGGTCTTGTGGATGTTTCAGGATCGGTATTGTTTATGCACGCGGTATTTATACCTTTGCTAAACCTCATAAATTGTGTTAGATTATTTCCACTGGGCTGTTGGCTCACCCTATATGGGAATACCATTTTCAGGTACAGGTGAGATGATTCCTCCAAGGCAATAGCGTGGATGGAGTTTTGGGAAGCAAGAGCTTCTTAATTATGTCTTATGTGTGTATGTTTGTTATTTGTAAAACCAAGGGCTTAAGATGTAATGAGCGAGACTCAATTTGTGTAACCAAACAATGACTTAGAACACATGTAAACCTACATGGCATTTAACTGGTTGTTAAACAGTGAACTTTGATATATGACAGTATGTTGTTTCTCATATTTATTCTGCATGTGAGTTATCCTTCTTGTATTATTTTGGGGACGTGACATGTATTCATTTGAATTTATAGCCGTTTATAGCCGTTGTATTCATTTGAATATCTTCTACTCCATCATTACTAATTTGAATATCTTCCACTCCATTAGGCCCCGTTTGGGGACTTACTTTTTTAGCCAATTAGCTAAAAAGTTACTAAATTAGCCAAAAAGCCAACAACTCATACCAAAAAGTCAAAGATTCTCTTTTCTCTCTACTTTTTGCACATCTTTTCGTAATTAGACAAAAAGTCATCCCAAACATACAATTTTTTTTTACCTACCTTTTTAGCCAAATAGCCAAAAAGTTACTAAATTAGCCTGTTCCCAAACGAGGCCTTATTACTAATTTGAATATTTTTCACTTGAACCTTTTGAACTGCTGCTGTGCTGGGCTGTTTGAACATCTGTTTTTGGGCTGTTTGAACCTCTGTTTTGGGCTGTTTGAACTCCTGATTTAATCAAATATTAAATACATTCTAACAATATTTAAGATAAAGGTTTAGGTGAGAAATAATTAGGCAAAATAAATTTTGATTCTATTTTTTTCTTTCAAATAAATTAAAACATAATTAAATAAATTATCAAAATAAATAAGTCTAACAGATGCATTTAGCTTTTTCAATTTACAATTAATTGTAAAATTCACTGTTTTAGAATGACGATTCGTGTGTTTTGTTATATATATTATTGTGTGTTTTGTTGCAAAAAATTCTGGGGCTCCCTCCGCGATGTAGAGAGGTGTCAATACTTTCTTCAGATTGGTTGCAAAATTATTTTTCTAAAGATTACTATTTGTCAGGTTATGTTATTTATGTTATCTGTATTATGTTATTTCAATAAGATATTTTTGGTTCGGGGTACTATAACACTCACCAGTATATCAGGTGTTAGCCACAAACTAATGGTAAGAGTACTGACTTGATCTTTTATCAGGTACTATAGACTTTACAAATTTTAACGTGATACATACAAATTACAACTACATTTTGATCCTAATATTATTTACACCGTGCCTTTAGGCACGGACATATACTAGTTTATATATATAATAAAATTTAATCACAAAATAATAATCCAAGATAATCTTTTAATAATTAATTTTAAATTTATTGTATTACTGTTAATCTCAAATCAAAAAAGAAGTATTATAGAATAGTAAGAGTAGGAGAGAAAAAAATTACAAAAACATATTAAGGCCTCGTTTGGGAACAGGTTAATTTAGTAATTTTTTGGCTATTTGGCTAAAATATGAGCTAAAAAAAAACTAGTATGTTTGAAATGACTTTTTGAATTTTTATGAAAAGATGTGCAAAAAATAGAGAGAAAAGAGAATTTTTGACTTTTTGATATGTTTTGTTGGCTTTTAAATTTTTTTAGTGATTTTTTGACTTTTTAACTAAAAAGTTACTTGCCAAACGAGGCCTAAATATAAATAATTTTATAACAAGATGCTAGTGAAATGATATGTGAATGCAAGTGCCCTGCCGTGCCCTCCATGTTAAAAAAAAAGAAAAAAAACGTGGTAGTTCGAACTGAAAGGACTTAAATAGCTCGAATAAGTGTTAGCCGATCGTCCTTCCGGATAACTAGTCAGATGTTCGCCCAGATTTACCACAACTGTCAGTCTTCTTACCAGACGACCGTCTACATGTCCGTCCTAGCGATCGGCAAAATAAATTTCAACCCACTCAAGCCAACCTCATATTCGGATTATCAACTGCTCAAAAAAAAATTCCGTTATGTGATTCTCCCAATCGAAAGAGGGAATAGACACAAAGGGTCCGTTTGTTTTGGGTTAAGTAGATGAGAGGGGATTAGGATGGTGGAGGTATTATTTAATGTTGTGTTTGTTTGTAGAGTTGAGAAGGGGATTAGGATGGTAGAGGTAATATAGATGGAGGTTGGAGAGGGGATTGAGATAGAGGTTAGGGAGATGATATTAGAAAAATAGCGAGGGGATTATAAATTTTTTATTTTTTTTATTTGTTGTATATTGAGAATTTTTTTATAAATATTAATGTTTAATTTTTTATATTTTTTTATTTATTTTATTATTTTATATAAAAATAATTTAACAATTCCTACACTAATAACTATCATCAAAACAAATACAATTTTACTTAATTCCATCACTATCAATCCTTTCACTATTAATCCCCTCACTATAAATTTTCTCCATTCAATCTCCGAAAACAAACGAGTCAAAAAAACCTTTCTAAAACTCGCCACGTGGCATCACTTACCCCTCACTATCGCTCCTCCTAAAACCCTTCTCTCTCACTTATCGTCCGCGAACTCTCTGGAAACAGAACTTCAACCCCTCACTCACTCCATCTATCTATCAACCAAACCTCGCTCCTAACAATCTTGCTTTCACCATCACACTTCCCCACGCCAACCTCCAAAACCTCTCAATTCTCTCTCTCTCTCTCTCTCTCTCTTTCTACACACACATATACATATAACATACATACTGCTTCAATTACTAGGGTTAGGGTTCGAGTTTTGTTGATTCAAACACAGAAATGGCGACATCCACGGCTCAGATTCACGTTCTCGGAGGAACCGTGTTCGCATCGTCGTCATCGAAGCATTCAAATGGAAAATCTCCGAGAACATTGTTCTTCGGCCATCAACGACTGACCAGCAACAACACGCCGTCGTTTCATATCCCCAAGCTGAAGAAGAACAACAGCAGCCGGAGAAGCGGGGGCGTTGGACCGGTGAGAGTGGTGGCGGAGAAGGTAGTAGGGATCGATCTCGGTACTACGAACTCGGCTGTGGCGGCGATGGAGGGAGGCAAGCCTGTCATCGTCACAAACTCCGAGGGGCAGCGAACGACGCCGTCTGTGGTGGCGTATACCAAGGTTGGGGATTTGCTTGTAGGTCAGATTGCTAAGAGGCAAGCTGTGGTCAACTCTGAGAACACTTTCTTCTCTGTCAAGAGGTTTATTGGGAGGAAAATGTCTGAGGTTGATGAGGAAGCTAAGCAGGTTTCCTACACCGTGGTTCGCGATGAGAACGGTAATGTTAAGCTTGAGTGCCCTGCTATGGGCAGGCAATTTGCTGCTGAGGAAATCTCTGCTCAGGTAAAACATTTAGTATTTGATTGATGTGGTGTGGATATGAAATGATGATGCTTTTTATTCGTTTGGATGTGTTTTTGGGTTTGAATTTAGGCTCCTGAACCCAATACCTTTTTAATCAGAATTTTCGTGATGACACAAAATGGGGAAAAGGATAATAGAATTGTATTTGTTTTCATGGTGAATTGGTTGTGGAATATTTATTTTCTTGTGAACTACCCTTTTGGGATTCTAATATCTTTGGATTTTTATGCATTTGATTGCTAATTTTAAAATTTTATTTATGTGATTGATATGAGATTGCAATTTATCTTTAATCTGAGTTTTCGTGATGGCACAAAATGTGGAAATGGATAATAGAATTGTATTGCTTTTCATGGTGAATTGGCTGTTGAATATGCATTTTCTTGCGAACTACTCTTTTGGGATTATGTTATCCTAGAATAAAATGGATAATATAAGCAAAGTAATCCTAAGAGAAATTTCTGAAATCAAAAGTGAGAGCTGAGCAGCTCCATATGGAAACTTTTTTGGTTAATGCTTTGAGTGGAATCTATTTGCTAATAAATATGTATAATAATGTCAATTGAAGGTCATGATAAATATGTATAATAATGTCAATTGAAGGTCATGATATGGGTGTCGGTACTAATAATGCTTATGATACGGCATTCTTGTCTGCATCTCACTTTTTAGCCTTTTAGGTGCTTTTGTTTGTTGTTTTCCTTTGGCTTTGGTATTCCATACTGCATGACTAACTACTGTTCATTTTGATAATTACTGTGTGTTATAATTTTATACGGCTGTTTGCTTTTTTTTTTATTTTTTTTTTCATTCATTAAAAAATTTATATATATGCTCAAGAATGTTGAATTGTGGTTTGTTTCATTTTCTCATGGATATAATTCTTTTAAAAACAGAACTCTATAAAGTTACTCTCTTTTTCTTTTTGATTAGGTTTTGAGAAAACTTGTGGATGACGCATCAAAATTTTTGAACGACAAAGTTACTAAAGCGGTGGTCACAGTACCTGCGTACTTCAATGATTCCCAACGGACAGCGACAAAGGATGCTGGTCGGATTGCTGGCTTAGAAGTTTTACGAATTATCAATGAGCCTACTGCTGCTTCACTGGCATATGGCTTTGAAAAGAAGAACAATGAAACCATTCTAGTATTTGACCTTGGAGGTGGTACCTTTGATGTTTCAGGTATTGTGACTATCTCATGAATACTCTTTGTACATCCTGGAGCATTGTTGGTCATTTCTATTCTAGAACTTTTTGTCATGATTTACAATTATTGTAACATGATATCATGAACCTGTTGACTCTGTTCTTCCTTACTTGTTTCTACCTGCCAATCTTTACTTGAAGTTCATTTTCTTGTAGCTATGCAACATCCTCACATGCATTAGCATTTTGCTTTAACAAATTAGGTTAGGATAAAGCTATTAGATTGTATCTTCCAGATGATGAGTTCTTTGCGCACTTCAATGAGATGTACAAATTGGAGTATGTGCTTGTTGTCAGTAGAGATTATCATTGTATTGACATATTTAACTCCATTGTTAAAGGATTGCTGACAATGGTTTGTTTCTAAGCAACTTTGTATTCATAATAGTTGTTTCTCTTGAATCACAGTTCTTGAGGTTGGCGATGGAGTGTTTGAGGTGCTTTCTACTTCTGGTGATACACATCTGGGTGGTGATGACTTCGACAAGGTTGACAGTCTTTGCCCATGTTATGCTCTATGATAAACGTTTGTTTATTTTTATTGTTACTTATATTTCGTTTGGTGAGTTACTACTGAATATAATTTACGACTTGTATTCTTCTTGCAGAGAATTGTAGATTGGCTTGCTGCTAATTTTAAGAGAGATGAAGGCATAGATCTTTTGAGGGACAAACAAGCTCTTCAGCGTCTAACTGAGACAGCCGAGAAAGCAAAAATGGAATTGTCGTCTTTGACACAGACAAATATTAGGTATGTGTGGTCTGTGGTATCTCTGAGCCTCATCATCGTAATAGATCTCTCTCTCAATTATGATTGATGGTTATTTTTCTTTTCTCCAGTTTGCCTTTCATTACAGCCACTGCAGATGGCCCCAAACATATTGAAACCACCATTACAAGGGCAAAGTTTGAGGAATTATGTTCAGATCTGCTTGACAGGTAACTAGTACCATTTCAATTAAGTTTCCAATTAGATTGCTTATTACATTATATATAGAATGACTTGATTGCCAATTGGTTTGTGGCTGTTCCAGCTTATATTACCAAAAGAAAACTCTCTCTCTCTCTCTCTCTCTCTCTCTCTCTCTCTCTCTCTCATTCATATTCTCTTTTTAGGCTGGCTATTATTGTCAATTTGTTAGTTCACAAGTGAACCTTGCACCAATATGGAGGCACTCAGATTTAAGTTTTGATTTTGACCCTAGGCTTAAAAGACCAGTTGAAACTGCATTGAGGGATGCAAAACTGGCTTTCACTGATCTAGATGAAGTGATCCTTGTCGGTGGTTCAACACGTACTCCAGCTGTTCAGGAACTTGTTAGAAGATTGACCGGAAAGGAACCCAATGTTTCAGTAAATCCTGATGAAGTTGTTGCCCTTGGTGCTGCAGTTCAGGTCAATCCTTATCTTATTTTCCTGCTATATTCATATTTCGTGTGTGCATTTGTCCCTCGTTATCATCCTTTGAGGCGATTTAACACCCGGTGAAGACTAAGCTTGTTTTGTAGTTGGAGTGTTAATTGTGGTTACTTTTGGTTTAATTTTGTGGTTTGAATTCTTATTTTAGCTTTTGTTTGTGGGCTAATCTTCTATGCATTTATTCAATTTGTTTCAGGCTGGTGTTTTGTCTGGAGATGTCAGTGACATTGTCCTTCTCGACGTGACCCCATTATCTATCGGTCTGGAAACTCTTGGTGGTGTTATGACAAAAATTATCACAAGAAACACAACTTTGCCCACCTCAAAGTCAGAAGTGTTCTCAACAGCTGCTGATGGGCAGACTAGTGTGGAGATTAATGTTCTCCAAGGTGAGAGAGAATTTGTTAGGGACAACAAATCTCTTGGCAGCTTCCGTCTGGATGGAATCCCACCTGCCCCACGCGGAGTTCCTCAAATTGAAGTCAAGTTTGACATTGATGCAAATGGCATTCTCTCTGTCACTGCCGTTGATAAAGGCACCGGGAAGAAGCAAGATATTACCATTACTGGTGCAAGCACCTTGCCTGGTGATGAGGTAGTTTTTCCTAAACAAGGTGTTATCAACTAAGTTTTTACTATTATCAGTAGTTGCTAGCTTGATTGGCATCTCCTACCACTGTGGTAGAAAGTAGGGGTGCAACTCGGGCAGATTCAATCGGGTTGGGAGGTTGTCCAAGCCTAGGCCAAGTTGTGCTAAGACCCACCCAAGCCTGAATTGTAACCCGAGGTTGTTTTCCCAAGCCTGACTCGAGTTAAACCCGAATTGTCCGAGTTGCCAAAATTGTAAATGAATTTCAGTTTTTTTTTTTTTTTTTTTTGCAATTACATTATTAAATTATTAAAATTTGACTCTATTTACTATTTTTTTTTTATTTATAGAAAATTATTAATACCATCAAAACAAATAATTTATATAATGTAAGAGAGATGCCACTATAGTAATCCTTACAATTTATGAGTGAAAACAAAAAGAAAAAAAAGTAAGATTTTATGTTATTTGTATATATAATATATATTCAATATGATTTAATAATATAAATTATTTTAATATCATGTAATGGCTAATAATTTATATGTATATTTAATATTTTTATATATCTATATATGTATAATTCGGATTTCGGATTGGTTGACGTCTTTGCCCAAGTCTGCCCAAATTTAATTCGGGCTTCTGAATTTTTGTCTAAGCCCGTACCGAATTTGAAAATATTTTGTCCAAGTCTTAAAAAAATTCGGGCTGAGTTCGGGTTGCTTGGGTTGAGCCTGCCCAAGTTGCACCCCTAGTAGAAAGGTGTTGGTTGAGTCCCAGTGGTGATGTGTTTTTTAACCCTCACACGCCCGTTAGTGGGGCTGCAAATGGGAGAGTAGTAAGTTGTTCGCGCTTGGTTTGGAACTTAATGGGTTTCAAAACGTGTTCAAGTTTGGCTTGTTTATATGATGAGCTAATCTGGGATGAGTTTTTAATGAGTCGAACACTAGGCAAGGTTGAGTAGATTTTCTTATAGTGCATATGGGCTTATCGAGCCAAGTAATAGATTGCTCAAGTTGGGCTTGAAAACTTAATGAGCTTTAAAAATGTGTTCAACGTTGGCTTGTTTGCATAACAAGCCGACATCAGTCAAGCACAAGTATTGGTTCGTTTCGCAGACCTACCCCTAAGAAGTAAATTAAATAATATAGAGTTGGAGGGAAAGAAGAAGAAATAAAGGCTACTTATCTGGTTTCCTCCCTAGCCATATCTCAAGTTTTTGTAATACTATGAATTCACTGTTTTTTAGCAGTACATTACTTGGGCCAAAATATAGATTTTACTCTAGAGCCGATTCAGACCTTAAGCCATAGCATTTTAATTTTAAATGGGATGCTGGTGATTGATGCATGCTCTATTTAAATCTCATGAAGCCTCATGCAAGCTTCATGTGATTAAATACTCCCAGGTCATTTGCTTACTGTAACCGAGTATACAGCTTTGTGTAAAGCTACTTCAATGGAATAATACCAACGCTGTGTCTATAAAATTACACAGGTAGAGAGGATGGTTAAAGAAGCCGAAAAGTTTGCCAAGGAAGACAAGGAGAAGAGAGATGCCATAGACACAAAGAACCAAGCAGATTCTGTGGTGTACCAGACAGAGAAGCAGCTAAAGGAATTGGGAGACAAGGTTCCGGCCCCAGTGAAGGAAAAGGTTGAGGCCAAACTCGGGGAGCTCAAGGATGCAATCTCAGGGGGATCAACTCAGACCATGAAGGACGCCATGGCTGCCCTTAACCAAGAAGTCATGCAGCTCGGCCAATCACTCTATAACCAGCCCGGTGCTGCTGGGCCTGGTGCTGGGCCTGCCCCAGGTGGTAGTACTGGGCCTTCAGAATCATCGTCAGGCAAAGGACCTGATGGGGATGTCATTGATGCAGACTTTACTGACAGCAAGTGAGAAGACAACACAGGAGATTAAGATCGATGGCCAGCTGATTTTACCCTTTCTGGTTCAATTTCCTACTTACTGTGTGTATAAGTGATGATTTTGTTAGAATGGGATTTGATGCTGGGCCATATTTTTTCAGGATTTTCATTTGGATGAGTGGGAAAATGTTAGGATAATAGATGGGGATTAAACTGGTTTTGGGTGATAGATACCATATTGATATGGAAACTTGAGGGAATCTACACCTTGAATGATGTTTGATTGATTTGATTTGCTAAAGATGGAAGATAACATGCAATAAGAATTTTGTTCTTCTAAAGCTTGTTTTTATGAGAATTTGGGGCGTATTTTGTTTGCTTTTTCATGAGCCTTGTTGTCATGATGAAAGGTAATTCCTTGGCCATTGTTGCCCTTGAAGTGCGTGCTATCCCATCGTTGGGCGCTCACGTTTTTGGTCTTTTTGGCTTGTGAATTTGTGCACACTTTTCAAGATTACAATCTGAGTTTGTTTAGTAGATGTATGAAAAGTGGTTTTTGCATATGAACAATGGGAAGGGTTGTTTGGAGTGTCTAAGTGCATTTTTTATCTTTTTAGACTAAAATGTTGAGGTTGAAAATATGAATGTTTGAGTTAATTTTTTGATTTTTTATGAAAAAATATATATTAAAAAATTGTATAAATTAATGTGTAGAGAAAAATTAATATTGGGAGTTGTGTAGTCGTAATTGTTGACTTTTGATAAATAGTAATAATTTTTTAATTTTTTGAGTAACTTTTTGACTTTTTTGAGACTTTCCAAACTTGGGAGACTCCTGTTTTAGTAAAAAGTTGATTTTTTTAGTTTATTTTGTTTTTTGGTGGGTAAGTTATGTGAGAGATGATGTGATTTAAAATGGATAAAAAATTAGAAACTAACTTTTTATCAACTTTTTAAAAGATTCCAATATTGTATTAGCTTGGTGCAACTTTGACGGCTGTTTATGGTTTTTCTTTATTTATTTGGGAGTGTGTTAGAATGTTCAGTACACTTTCTAGTAGGGAAAAAAAAATGATCATCTGGAAGTTGGAGAAATGGTGATTTTGGTTGCTGTTTTTTTTATCGACTCACAGTTTGGGAAAAGTTAAATCAAATGGGCTATTGTTGTCTTTGAACCTTTCCATAGGAACTAGAATTTAACTGGAATTGTGGATGTTGCTGCGTGGTCCCTCGTGTGGGTCAATTCTAAACTTATTTTACTAATTCAAATCGTTTTATTATGTATAGTTTAGATCATTCATAATAAAAAAAAAATTAATTAATCAAATATTTGCAATTACATAATAAGATCACATTTGTTTTAAAAAAAAAAAAAAAACATTTATGATTATTCACCAAATATGGCAGTTAACAAATTTGGCAATTTTTTCATATTTTCTCAAGGTGTTTTAGAAAGATGATTAAAAATTAATTTTTTTATTTTTTAAACTTTTTTTTACTATTTTATGTAAAAGGAAATAGAGGTAATGTGACTCAAAATAAATTGAAAGTTTCCTATAACCTTCTTTTCTTTTTTTTTTTTCTTTTTTTTGATGAGTTGCCCAAACAGCCTTCAATCTGTGCATCAACCTTTTTATTTTTAATTGTTTCTACATTAACATGGCCTTTATGTCAAACAGACCATAACATCTGTCCAAGCCTCAGTCTGGAAATTTCAGTCTGCCAATCAGAGACTGCCAATCAGATTTTACTCGCACACTTGATTTTGACATCAACTTGTTAGGTAAATAAGTTCAAAGGAAGTGATCGACAACGCTAAAAATAGAGTTTTAATATAAGTTTTAGTGATGTGACAATTAAAAAAAAACAAAAAGAATAAAAACATTAAGTTAAAATACCACATCACTATGAGAAATCCACTTTTGAGCCCTACCTAGAGCTCCAAACATTTTCCTAAGTTGAAATGCAAACCCATTTTAAAACTTAATTTTCACGTAAACACATTTTAAAACTTATTTTTTAAGTCAAATTTGAACGACCGACAGATAAAGTTTTCAATTACAGATAGCATATCTGAGTGAGAAGAATACACTACTATTGTGTATCCGTCACACAGTACAGTACAGTACACAAAATCCCAATTATGACCCAATAACAAAAACACTCAAAAATAATGTCTTACAATATAAATATATAAAAAAAAAGTCCAAACAAAGGCTTGAATGCCATGACAAAAGGAGAAGGTAGGTTCATTCATGGAAATACAATAATCTTTTTTTAACAACTAAAGTCCAAAAATACGCTTACAGGCTTTCAATATCTTGCCAGTCCTATGCTGTTTCTTCTTCTTCTTCTTCTTCACAGATCTTGCCTGCATTGCATTGTTGTCGTACATTCCTTCACTATCATCATCACCATCATCAAAGGAGGATGATAATGTCACACACTGGTCATGAATCCTACAATACCCTTCAGAAACTGATGAAGATCTTCTCATGGAGAAAACCCTTTTCACTGCAGACTGCAGTGGTGGTGTTGTACCTTGCTGCTTGTTGTCTAACCTGAACCTGTGAGAAGAGGCTGTTGATGAAGAAGAAGACACTGCTGAGCTGTACTTCTTGCCCAGTATCACACCAAACCTCACTCCATTCCCATCTTCATTTTCTAGCTGATCTGGAGGGTACTCATTGGTGGTGCTCATCTGTTTGGTTTCTTGGGTTTTGGAGGTGTGGTTTGGGCTAGTTTTCTCAATGGGTTTTGGGGTTTGAGAGAAAGGTTGGAGATCTGATAAGTATATGGTACTTGATTTAGAATACCCATTCATTTTCTTGTTTCTCTTCTCTACGTTTCTTGGTTAAATGTGTAGTCAGAAATGGAGGTGAGGGGGCTAGAATTTATAGGCTATATCCTATTGAAGACAAGTTTGGGGGTACAGGAAGGAGTGGAGGTAGAACTGTAGAGCTAAAGGTTGAGGTGTGTATATGTAAGCAAAGACATTATAGATTTGAGGGTGGGACCCAAATGTGGGGGTACAAAGGATGGGCATGAAAGGTAAGACAAGACTAGAAACAAAAGTGTGGAGTGGAGTGAGAGTGCAAAGTTTGGAAGAGAAAATGTAAAACAGGAGTCCATTTTTTGAGAAGTTAATTGGTGATTCAAAGAAAATACCCAATGCTTTTCCGAGTAACAAGATTACGAGAAGCATGCTTAAATAAAATGACATTGATAATATGATTTTTGGAAGTGTTAGAACTTTGATTCAAGTGTTATCAAAATTAATTAATTTTTTTGTTTTTGTTTTCTGGGTGTTAATCAAGTGCAAAAACTAAACTAGAAAAAAAAACCAACTGATTATCCCAATTAACCCAGACTTACAACTTGAACGAAGAAATAAGAAAGTTGCATCTTGTTCAGTTAGCGACGCGAATGTACAATCAAATAGTTTGATACTTGGCAACACAAGTTAAATCTAATCTATATAATAGAAGAGCTGACAATAAATGAATGACAAAATAATTGTAAAAAGATTAGCAACCATCCACCAATAAAACCATTTATTGAGAGAAAAATATGTCCAAGCTAATGAAAAGAACAACAATGCTACATATTCAGAAAAGTATATCTATGGACCAATACTACACAGCATCACAATGTCCCAAAAATTTCAGCAATAAAGAAACAGGGAACCAAAAAATAAGAAGTTAATGGTAGTCTCATTAGTAGCACAAGCTCCAAAAGAAAACGTCTTCAAAATCGTATTAAAAACTTTCTCAACCAATTTTCCTATATATTAAAACACAAGTCACACCACTTGGTAATTCTCGGTGGATAGAAGTGTTCTCTGAGCGAACCTTGGCGATGGTCCACCTCTCAGCGGCAAGACATTAAGCACCTGCCAAAGATTTATGCTCCATCATGCACAAATATGTCATAAACGTGCTTCAAAATCAACCCTAAACATGGCAATTATTCTACAAAAATCTAACAAACTGGTAAGTGGAACCCAAGAAAGAAAAGCACACATTTAGATGTTCTTCAAGATTTTTTAACAAAACAAAGTTAGTTGGTTAAACAAGATGACTTCACATGCAGACGTGCTATAGAACATGGCAAATAATCCCTATTCCAGGCATGTTGTAGATCTGTCATATAATGGCAAACAAGACGATTTCTCCAATTTCTGCTGACTACCATTTCCGGATGAGTAATTTGAACCAGTTTCATGCAAAATGAAACTGAATTAAACATCAATTGAAGTCATAAATCAGAATAAACATTTAAAGAGTTCTTCGCTTTAAATTAGTGCAACTTTGCAGCTACCTTCTGATCTACTCTAATACAAGTTCACCATTCAAGAGAGGTGCATTTAATTCTTATTAAAAGTCTATGTTGCAGACGTTATAGATGCATATAAATGTCAACCGAAATTAAGTACAACACAAACACCATTATTATTGGCTGAAAAAATTGAACGAAGCAACTATAAATGGAAAAAGAAAAGTAAACCTTTTCTATGCTGCAGGCATTATAGATGCATATAAATGTCAACCAAAATTAAGTACAACACCAACACCATTATTATTGGCTGAGAAATTGAATGAATCAACTATAAATGGAAAAAGAGAAGTAAACCTTCAGTTCACTGAATGTGCTTGCAGCAGTAAAACGCACAGAAATCGGGAAAAAGACTGATGCATCTACTGGAGGGACAACAAACTCCATAGATCCACTGCCAAGTGTTCCAAAATGAAGTTAGAAACCAAACAAGCACTACAAATTCTAGAATGCACAATAAATTTTAGTTTTTAAATAAAAGAAACATCATCATATACTGACCTGCGGTTTGAGTTATCAATGAGAAGTATGGACCACTCTAAAATGGAATTTCTGGAATCATACCTGTGAGAAAACATACAGGTATTGTAAACCCAACTCCATTGAACAAGAGAAGTGGAACAAAAACCCATTTATTGGTGAGCAAATCATTAAACTGTGTACCTTCTAAAACGTCTGTTGAAAGCGAAATCAAAAAAGGGAGTAATCAAAGCAGCTATATGAGGTTTTTGCAGTAATTATTGTGGGAATATCAAGCTATAATTTTAAGAAGTTACATAACAAGATCTTGATAAGCTGGTACATCTATTCCATTTCCTGAAGGGTCATTTTAAAACCATTTTGAAGTGGTATAGATGAAACATCAAAAATGTATAATACATTTTTCAAATTTTGCGGGAAAAAGAAAAACAGCAAGTGGTCCCAAAATATTTTTCACATTTTGCCTTCTCTCATACTGCTAAACAGAGAAAAATGATGTGAAAAGCATATCAATGCAAAACAATCATGACTTCCAAATAAATAAATAAAAATAGTCTTTCCTACAAAATGCAATTATATTTTGGAGGATATAGCTTTTACCATGCCGTTCTAATTGACCCAACATCCATTTCTCCTAAAATTGATCTCAATTATAACTCACAATCCAAGGCTCCATCAAACAATTGCTCAGCTGTCAAACAATAATGACCTAAAACTGTATGAACATAAGATTTAATAACAATATAAATTAAGAGTTCACCTCCATTCACCATCAATCTGCTTTACATTTGGTGCCTCTCTAAGAGCTGGAAGAGGTACTGAAATCACAACATTCTGCAAATCAAATGTTGATGAAGCTTCATACTCGATACTGACGTAAGTTTCAGTTCCAGAAACCGAGGGCCAGCAGTTGACTGAGACAAAACCAGATTTTAATGAATAACAAGGGCTTTAAAAGAAGTGGGTGGGGGGGGCTCATACACCAGAAAGATAAATAGCAGGAAATGCAAACCCACTCGTCAATGGCACAACTGACTCATCTACACTTTGCATTCTCCACTTCAACAGGCCAACACCATCACCAGCTTGACCAGCAGGAAACGGCCTGTTAGGATCTTTGAGGCCTAAAATATTTTCATTGGAAAACAGTTCTTTGTTGATGTTAGGGTGGGTCTTGAAGAGGACACCTGGATTGCCTCCAGTCTCAATCTGAAAGTAAGACAAGATGTTAAAGCATGCCATTAGATAAAGCATCAGAATTTAAATATACATACTCAACTCATGGAGAAAAAAGTATGCACTTCTAAAGGTACCACAAAAATTGGCTTTAAAAAGTCATTAATATTTTAACAGCAGAAATAAACTGAAGGCAACATTATAGTCTCTAAATATGGTGAAGAACTAAACTCCTGTTTGAATTTCCAATTGAAATTGAATGGGGCCATTCCTTTCTCACAAAAAAATTTAACTTAAAACTCATCACCTTGAACTGTTATTTCCATAAAGCCTATAAATGACCATATATGAAAAAAATCAGATGAAGTCACCATTTTTTTCTTTCTGATGAAGTCACCCTTTTTTTCAAACGGTTCCATTCAAGCTGATAGGCATTCACATTAAAATGAGAAATACATGGCAAATTATGGAGCCATTCAAATTCAAGGGATGGCCAAACAGGTCCTACATGTATACTACAGAAAATAATCATTTAGCTCTCAAATATCTCTTTCAAAAGGAAAGCTTTCTTTATTTTTTATAATTCTTCACACAATTCTCAGCTAGTGGAATGATATGACAAGATTCAAGTAGCTTATACTACAGGAATGAAGTAAATGCTTTTACTGAATGAATTATTTTCAGCAAGGTTGACACTCTTTGGGTGAAAAGTGATGATAAACAATCATAAAGATCTAACATGACAAAGATTTAACTTCCATCTTCTCTCAAACACGTCAAATAACGTCTAATATGACAAAGATCTACATGTCTCACATCAAACAAGTCAACATAAATTCATTCTAATGTTAACCATGACATATCGTAAAATCCCTAAGAACAGTAATACTTCAGCTTCTGTATATAATTGACCACAATCTTTTCCCATAATTCTAACAAGTGTAATATTAAATTCCTTTTCACTTGCACACAAGGTTTTAAAAAGTAGCCGCAACTGTTACGTAATGATTGGGGTGGTTACCGCTACCCGTTATGGCCGCTATAGCGGTGTGACGGAAATTTACATGTGTAACGGCCGTAACGGTCCGTTAGACACCGTTACACTCTTTTATAATATTTTGAATAGTTTCTTTTTCCCAAGAAAAAAATAAAAGTTCACAAAAAAAAGAACAAATACTCAAGTGATCCAAGCCTAAAGAAAAAATTTAATATGAATTTTTTTAAAAATTTATGGCACAATTTTTATTTGATAATCCTTTTATTTAATAATTGTGAATATTTTTTATTCAGATAGTTCAGGTATTGTAAAAAAATAATTGGGTAAATTACACTTACACCTTCTGAGGTTTGGTTTTAATACATATCACCCCTGACGTTTAGGAAATTACACTAACCTCCTTATCATTGTAATTATTTAGACGGAATGAAGACATTGAACTCATGCACTCTCTCTTTTTCTTGCTTTGCTTTACTTTACTTTCTCTTTTTTTTCCTCTTTCCTTAACTTTTTTTTTTTTCCCCTTCTACTTTCTTTTTTTTTTTTTAATGTAATTTCCTCTGTTTTTCTATTAGGAGTTGTTACCTTTTATATAAGCAGGGGGTTTGTGAAATGAAACTATTAACCACAGAGGTGGGAATGTAATTTCCAAAACGTCAGGGGATGGATAATAATTGAACCAAACCTCAAGGGTTGTCAATGTAATTTACCCAAAATAATTTGTAGACATTTAAAATTAATTATTCTTAAAATCATTAATTATTGAAATAAAATGTAAAAAACTCCTTTTATAATGATTTGAAAATATAAAATATATTGGATCATACTTAAAAATTAACAAAGATTGATCAAAATTTATTTTAAATCCCAGTAAATGTGATTTGGAAAAATATATATATATATATATATATATGCATATTGGTAAGTTTTCTTCAAATTGTGCGGGAAAAAAAAATCACGGTTTCGGTTACCGCAACCGTTACGTTACGTTACGTTACGGCCGTTACACCCTGCTACCGCTTTTCAAAACCTTGCTTGCACATAAAATATAAGCATCATACAAACGCGCACCGTTATTTCCAAATCATGAATGTGCAGACAAACACACGCCATTATTTCCAAATCACGCATGTGCACACATAACCATAAAATACCAAGACAAGCATGTCTGCTTGCACTATCTCCTCAGAGAGAGAGAGAGAGAGAGAGAGAGAGAGAGAGTGAACCTGAACTTGGATGAGCCCATCTTCCTGGTTAAGAATTTGAAGAGACAAGGTTCCCTGAACATCAAAGTTACTGACACCACCATCTCGCTTTAGTGTCACATTGATTTTCTCGTCAACAGTCAATGTAATGGGATCAGTTGGTGGTGGAGCAGCTGCTCTGGTTGGACCAGCACTTGGACGGACATCCTCAAGAATAACTTCCCCTTCAGCTTTCAAAGATTCCAAAAACTGGTTTGCCCTTTGTGTTTTACCAAGCTTCATACCAAGACCTTTAGGAGGTGCAGTAGCAGATGCAGCTGGACGACCTAATGAAGCAATACACAAATAGTCTAAGTATATCCCTAGTTGATTTCCAATCATCTGGCACCATACTTCATGAACAACAAATACCTTTGGTCAATGGAGGGAAAACCAACCCTAGTCACTGATCTCAGGAGTCTAATGCATAACCGAATATCAAGAACACAGTTGTAAATAAATTCACACTGTACAGGTGCAGATGTTATGCATGCAAGTGTTTAGCTGTTAAAAGTAACTAAGAGATGTGGAAAACCATAAGACTATCTCACATAATCCAGGATTTTTAGGCCTAGTTTGGCATGTCCAAAAAAAGACAAAAGTCAAAAAGTTATCACTATTCACTAAAAAATATTAAAAAATTAATTTTACATACAAAATTACAAGATAGATTTGACCCGTTCAGATCTGTGGCTGCCTTTTTTCAAGAAAAATTGCACAGCTGGGGTGCAATTTTAACACACTGCTGTTCGGCCTGTGGGGGTCCATCACGGGTCCCGTTTTGATAATCTGAACCGTTTAATGTGTAGAACTCGTCGAGTACTATATGTCTGTAAAAAATCACATTGATCGGATATCGCTAACTACATGATCAAATCAATTTTGTATAAAAAAAATGGATGGTGTTATAATTAACGGCTGAAAAAAAAAAAAACTAATCTAATCAGATAGCTCTCGATATCCAATCAATGTGATTTTTCACAGGCATATAGTATTCGACGAATTCTACACATTGAATGGTTCAGATTATCAAAATGGGACCCATGATGGCCCCCACGGGCCGAACAGCACCGTCTAGTGCAATGTCCGAAAAGTAGCCAATCATTTCTTAACATCAATTCAACTGTGCAGATAGTACGGCTGTACAACTCACACTCCTAATCTTCTCCTACACACTAATTTATACAATTTTTCAATACACATTTTTCCATAAAAAGTCAAAAAATTAACCCAAACAACCATATATTTTTTCCTCAACTTTTTAGTCTAAATAGTTAAAAAGTGTACTTATTTAAGACACACCAAACAACCCCTTAATATGGTGTCATTACATATGATTAGAAGGAATATTTTATCATAATTTAGATACATAAGTACATCATGGAAAGAGAAATGTGATCAGCACGAAGCATACTTTGTTTAACTATTGTTTAAATAGACCTAAACTGCTGATGCCAAATTCATTATTAACCAACCGTAAGTAGAAACTGAAGCATATACATCCACCACAGCTAGTTTCGAATAAGGATACTAGGACTTGATGATTTTTTTAGTCAGATATTGTACACAAATTATTTAGACAAGACCTGCATACCAGTGAGCTTGCTTCCAACAGTCTGTGTGTGTCATGGAAGAACATGCCATCATATACCCCCCAAAAAAACTTAAACACCCCCACCCCCACCCCCACCTCCCCCCCCCCCCCCCCCCCAAAAAAAAAAAAAAAAAAAGCCATCAGATTATCTTAGGACTGTTTACTAATATATAAATGAAGACAGCTAAATCCACAGCTTTTATGGTTGTATTCACAGCCCTTCCTCTCACATAGGTGGGTCCCACATTGTGAGGAGCTGTGTATAGCTTAAATAGCCATGAATTTAGCAATCTCCTGCAAAAATTAACAAATTATTATCTTCTGAACATTCAGTTACCTTAAAAAACAGTTGCTCAAACATATTTGTGCAAAAGGTGGCGTATCATCCAAAAAAACCAAGATCCAGTCTTTGATTTCAAAAACGAATAAACAAAAGATACAGAAATTTAAAACTGAAAATCCAATAAATGCCAAAACAAAAGTAAAATGATAACATAGTTAGAGTTATGCAAGAAGACATAGTGCCATGTGATTACAGTCTTTAAACCTCCATGCAACATGGGTTTTAGCTATGGCAAAAACATTTAACCACTTTCCAGATAATCTTACATCACTTTATTTCACAGAAGGTTCATAATGACAAGCAAAATTTAGTCAAAGATTTGCACATTTATAAATTTCACACAGATGAACATGGACAACAAACCTTTAGACTTGCTGCTGGTGAAGGAATCCATATCAGTGCTTAATCCAAACCCAGAACCACCTCCAAAACCACTTCCACTGCTAGATATGCCACTATCACTACCAAAACCAGAATCAATTCTACCAGAACCCATTGACTGCATAGACATGAACCCTCCTTTATCACCTCTATTCTTTTCGATCTGCAAAGCATTCGCATATGATTTAACTAAACAAAGTTCACAAAAAAGCTGACAAAAATTATGAAAGGAGAGGACACTGCAGATGATTTCTCAGCCCCAGCAAATACCTTGCTTTTGTCAATCTCACTAGCTTTGCGCTTCATGATGTCCTTAGTCTCGTTGATCTTGCTCTGCATTACCAACTTGTGCAATCTCTCCTCATGACTCTCCATCTCACAGTATTGTTTAACCTGTGCAACAGTTACACTTTCCCTGTGCCCAAGGGAGATGACTTCATCAAATGCAAAAATCAGCTCAAAAGCTGTCTTGCAAATGCCCTCTTCATCTAGAGAAACAGAATATTCAGGAACCTATACACAGTTAAGGAGTCAATATAATGGACAGTGTCTATAACAGATCAGTATCTTGAAAAGCATCACCACTGACAAAAACATTCAACGTGATTGCAAGGAACTTGCACAAAGCTGCATTGGTATACCTTCATAAGAGAAAAATCAGATTTCACAAGACACCATGAGGCATTTTTTTTTTTTTTTTTTTTTTTAAGTATCAGAAGCATGTGAGGCTTAACTGGTAGAGAATAGAGAAACTCAACTCATTCAACAAAATGGACACATATATCAAGACAACAGCCAGTACAGTAATAGAAATAATAGCTATTGATAGGATACTAGTTTGGAAAGAAGCCTAAGTGTCTCCAAATCTTCAAGAATGTTGCTCTGTTTGTTTGTTACAAGCAGTAAATACAAAGCCTCTATTGGCTGGTAAACATAGCGCACATTTTCAGTCTCAATGTATGTATGTTGTTTTCCTGTTCCAACCAACTTGGGGAAAGCTGCAAGGAGCCCCTCAATTCTTATGCGAGACATATCCACAAATTGTCTTGAAACAAGTGCTGCAAAAAATATATAGGATAAAACTATTAACAGCATTACCTCAAACATGCACAAAATGCAAGAAAAAAACCTTCGATGTGGAAAAGAAAGCAGAAAATGAAAGACAGGCTGTGCTCCTGACAACCCATCCAACAAATCTCAACTTCAGAAATAAATTCACTGCCAAGTCACTTTTCCAACACTAACACCAGTAATTGTACTTCTATATATATATAGATGTGAGAGAGAGAGAGAGAGAGAGAGAGAGAGAGTATCATATATAAATAAAAATTCATAGTAGGGAAGTACTCCCAGCCTAGTCCTAATGGTGGTTTGGGAGGAGTAAACTTAACCTTTATCATAATTTGCACAAAATGATTGCTCTCAGAGTTTGAACCTACAACCTCAAGGTTGATGGACTGAGTTTTAAACTACATCGGTGATAGATCCATGCATAGAGATGGATAAATAATTAATACAAAACGTGCATAAAATCCCCACAAGTTACACTGCACAACCCACACACCCCAGCCTTCAAGAAAGGGGATGTTGGCACCACAATGAACAAAAAGAGAACATAAAACCAAAATAAAAATGAGAAAAAAATAATGGGGTCAAAGTTCTCTACTTTATTTCTTTTATGTTTTCTTTTGTGTAGTCTTCCTGTGTACTCATTGTCTTTCCTTTGTACCTGGTTGCACCCCCTTCAGCATATCTTTCTTTAACAAATTTACACACACACACAGAATGCAATGAAAATGGTACTAATGTAAAGCGAGCATGAAAAACACTCCTACAAGTTGTGAAAAAAGAGGTTCAAAATGCTTATTTTAGTTAGTTTTTTAGGCCAAAAAGCAAGCAAAATTGTGGATTCCAATGGGTAGAAATCACATAAAAGGGACACTGGGTTGAGACTGAACTAAATGAAGAAAGCCAAGGAATTGGGGCCGTTTTAGGTCTATGAATTACCCCGTGGAAAGCAAATCAGGCATTGCTTTGGTGTTCTTTGAGTACTAGGGTTGATCAATCAGCAAGGAAATAGGTAGGCTTGTAAATTAAGAGTTTAGGAGTAGGATAGAAGTTAATCAAATCCACTTCAAAGAAATATAAAGGCTTCAAATGTAGAGAATCAGAAGACAAGGAAAAAATAGAAGAGACAAGGCATCACAACTAGGTTCCCATAGGCACCACACCCAAGGTACAGTTGCATTGCACAATCACAAAAACACTTCAAAAACTCTAGAAAATTATTCTCTACACTTTTCCATTGAACTAAGGATTACATAGCTACATCTAAACTCTAGGAATATTCCTACTTGGATTTGGACTCTAAGTCACAAAGAATCCCCAATTAAAATTCACCAAGGGTATCCAATTACATGACCCAATATAAAATCATCGGCAATCCCTAAAGCTCATGTTCAAAAAATTAAAAATACCAAAACATAGATTCCTAAAACATGGTAGAACAGGAATTTATGTTTTCATGATTGGTATGAGAAGGGAGAAGTAAAAGGATGCAATAAGAACCTATTGAAAAACCTGCACCACAAGTAAGCCCATAATCTTCTCTCTCTTTTTACACATTTTTTCTTTCATGTGTATGAATAGTTTGTGAGGTATATACATTAACTTCCTAGTCAAGACCATTTGGGTATATTAGCATTTATCATTTATGCTTGCTACTTGTTTAGTTCTCTAATTGTCTCTTTTTAGCAATTGACTAATTTATTCAAACCAACTTGAGATCAATATACTTCCCTATATATTGTTATTATATAAAAACTCAAATTAATGTAAAAATGGATCTGATCCCCATAGGATAGTTTCCGTATCAAAAAGAAAAAAACAAAAGATTATTGTATAATGCTGCAATCATGTCATCTGATGCAGCATGTCGTGACTGATACAGGTTACCATTGTCTCCTACCCTATTCTGGTTCAATTGACAAAACAATCAGTCGTTTGTTTCAAATCCTTAAAGATTCCAATACGATAAGAATCATAAAATAATTGGTAAACCCAACGTAATGAAAATTATTTCAAAGATAGAAAGGGACTCACCTTTGCCAGATTTACTTATAATGGAAGCCGCAAGAACCACCTAAATCACAAAAATACACAGTATAACACTTGAAATTAAAAAAACAAAACTGCAAATATGTCAAAGAAACCACCAAGAAAACAAATCCACAAAAAAAAATTAAAAAAAATACCATGTTGACCCAATTGCAGTGCACCGTTCACTGATGAGAAAGCAGCAACGCAAGTCGTACCGAGTGCCTGGACAATCAAGAAAAGTTAACATAAACACACATATACCTAATTCATAGATTTATATGTATAGATCTAAGCAATGCACATATAATTGAGACTGATTTCGCAAATTGGAGCTCGTAAACAGCGAAAGTTCGGTTAATTGATCGGATCTAAGTTGCATAGAAATGTTGATCGCGAATTCGAAACACTACATGGAATTTAAATTAAAAAAAAAACCTAGATCTGGAACTGCCAATGAAGAAAGTAACACGAATTGGTCGAAACGGAATTAGATCTGTCAAATTTGAGAGATAGAAGAATACCTGAGATCAGAATCGATATGAGAGTTGGACCAAGGGAGCGCTACGAAGAGAAGTGAGATTTATGAATTTGTATTGTTTATATATTTTTCGACTCCTTCAGACTGCGAGTCTTGTGTTTTGTAATTGTAAGAAACTAGTGGGTGACCGTCCGATGCACGGTAATTTATTATGTAGAAAATTTAAAATTGAAAGTTAAATATAAATAGACTTGAAATTAAAAAAACAAAACTGCAAATATGTCAAAGAAACCACCAAGAAAACAAATCCACAAAAAAAAATTAAAAAAAATACCATGTTGACCCAATTGCAGTGCACCGTTCACTGATGAGAAAGCAGCAACGCAAGTCGTACCGAGTGCCTGGACAATCAAGAAAAGTTAACATAAACACACATATACCTAATTCATAGATTTATATGTATAGATCTAAGCAATGCACATATAATTGAGACTGATTTCGCAAATTGGAGCTCGTAAACAGCGAAAGTTCGGTTAATTGATCGGATCTAAGTTGCATAGAAATGTTGATCGCGAATTCGAAACACTACATGGAATTTAAATTAAAAAAAAAACCTAGATCTGGAACTGCCAATGAAGAAAGTAACACGAATTGGTCGAAAAGGAATTAGATCTGTCAAATTTGAGAGACAGAAGAATACCTGATATGAGAGTCGGACCAAAGGAGCGCTACGAAGAGAAGTGAGATTTATGAATTTGTATTGGTTATATATTTTTCGACTCCTTAAGACTGCGAGTCTTGTGTTTTGTAATTGTAAGAAACTAGTGGGTGACCGTCCGATGCAAGGTAATTTATTATGTAGAAAATTTTAAAATTGAAAGTTAAATATAAATAAATTTATTAATGATGGATGAAAATTGTTATTACTGAATGTGATTTTATATAAAATAGGCTTATAAAAATATTTTTTCTCAAAGTTAAAAAAAATATATATTCTCAATCTGAAATCAAATTTTCATTTGTGTTAATTAAATTTATCAAAAATTATGAATTCTACTTGTATCAAAATATTTTTTCTAAAAAAATATATAAATAATAGAAAATTTTATAATATACAAATTATAACTTAGTCATAACTCCTGGTATATTATTTTGGTTATTAATTGAAAAAGTCTCTGCTAAGTTTTTATATCTTTAGTTATGTCTAAATTGGTGTATTAAATTTTTAATTATATTTCAAGTGGTATTTGATTAAGATCTATTGTAATATTTTTATATAAAAATATTTAAGTATTTTATTACGTGAAAAAGTGCTTGAAGTGGGTTAACTCAAATGCAAGATTTATGATTATATCAATAAGATCGTAGAAATTATTCACATTGATGCATAAAAAATTATAAATCCAAATAATAAATAGTGTCTTCAAAAGAAATTAGATACAAAATCTTCGTAACCTTAATAATTTCAGTTCTCAAAAGGGTTCTAATTAATTATGTAACATATCATAATAACTGCAAATTTTTTATTCCAACCAAATTATTTTTGCATATCTTTTCTAGGAGAGCTCGTGAAGGTGCATTTTAGTAATATTATAAATTCAAACTTATTCAGGAAATAAGTGTCTTAAATATACACAATCACTTTCGATGAATTATTATTCTTTAATAATACTCAATACTTCATTTTGACATTTGTCAATTTATCTTCTAAAAACTTAACCCAAAAAAAAATATTGAGTTCTATTATTTTAATCATTCAATATCAAATTAAATGCTACATGTGTGTGTCAATTTCCGACACTACACATGTATATAAATCACTTCTAATATGATGTCAGACATAAAATCACAATAGAGTTAACTTTAATTAATGCAATAATATTTTATACTATGATATGTATTAGAAAAAAATAATATAAATTTTAATTTAAAACAAAATTTAAATTTGAATTACTTGTTTTAATAATCTGACCTCTATCGTTCTATAAAAATATTACTTGAATACTTATATATAATAAACTTAGTTAAATTATTTGTTTATTTTGATAATTTTATTTCTATTGTACTATAAAAGCGCAATTACCACTTAATAATTTTATATGATATATATTAGATTATAAAATAGTAAAATAAGCACTCATTTTGATATTAAAAATAAAAGTTAAATTAGAAAGAGAATTAGTAATATAAAACTAAAAGTGATTCTAATTATTTATTTTTTATTTTTACATTTATTTGAAAAATAAAAATATGTTGAAATAGAATTATACAAAATTTATTTAAAAGCTAAATATGAATATGTTGTGGTTGAATTAAGAAGAAAATATGTAAATTAAATATGTAGAGTATTGATTTTTTTTCATTAATATTCTTTTTGAATTATTCATACATATTGTATATGGGTATATAAAAATTTAAATTAAATATAAATGTTTTGTAATAAATAATTTAATGTTAAATAAAAATTAAATATAAATTAATATTAAGACATCAATAAGATAGATAAAAAATAAAAATATAAAAGAAAATTAATTTGATCTATGCGATGCATATAATTAAGCACATTTTGTTTTATTTATTTACATATCGAGATATTTTTTTCAAATATCATAATAATAAAATTAAAATATCAACTATATAAAAGAAGATAAAACTAAATACACAATGAAAAATATATGGAAAATAAGTATTTATCAAATAAAATCTATATAAAATTTGTTACTATAATTGAAATTGAGTTTATGTAGAACTTTAAATGCAAATGGAAAAGAAATTCTGATATGGCTTTTTTAGGAAAAAAAAAAAGGGTAAGGATTTAGAATATACCACCTAAGTGAGGAGACAATATTACTTTTAATAATATGGGTTTATTAGGTTAAAAGTTAATTTTTTTTTTTTTAAATGTGTAAAAAAATAAGGGGATGATATGATTTGAAAAAGCCAATAAGCTGCCTCTTAACCTAGTTATCAAAACAGGCTTTTATATCCCTAAATTATCGTTAAATTATTTACTTTAGGCCTCGTTTGGGAACAGGTTATTTTAGTAACTTTTTGACTTTTTGGCTAAAATATGAGGTAAAAAAAATAGTATGTTTGTGATGAGTTTTTGACTTTTTACAAAAAGATGAGCAAAAAGTAGAGAGAAAAGTAAATCTTTGACTTTTTTGTATATATTATAGGTTTTTTGAATTTTTTTAGTAACTTTTTGATTTTTAGGCTAAAATATCTATTTGCCAAACGAGGCCTTATCATATTACTCTCTCTACTTTTTTACACATCTTTTCATAAAAAGTCAAAAAATTACTAAAATAATTTATTCATAAACTACCGATTGAATATATTAATTTCCTAAAATATTTAATTTAAATCTATTTAGTCCTTAAAAAAATTACAAAAATAAAATATAAACCCATAAGTATTATAAATTAATAAAAGACCCTACATAGTTAAAATTTTATTTCAAAAAAATCTTTATTTTTTATTCTATTTTTAAAAAGTGAGTGTAAGTTCTTTTTATAATTTTTAATTGAGTTTTTTAAATTTTTTGCTAAGTTATTTTTATAACATAATTAATGTATTATATTGTTCTATTATTATTTAAATTATCTAATTTTACTTCTTTGCCTCCGTTTGGGAAGTGGGTTGGCTTTTTGGCTTTTTGGCTTTTTTGGCTATTTTAGCCTGGGCTAAAAAGCTTGATTTGGGAAGGGCTTTTTGACTTTTTGGCTTTTTTGACTTTTTTTGTGAGAGAAGAATGTAATGATTATAGGTTGGATGTGATGTTTTGTTTGTTATGGCTAAAATAGCCTATTTTGTTTTTTGTGGCTAAAATAGTCAAAAAAGCCTGAAAAAGCCCTTGCCAAACACAGGCTTTAGTAGTTGTTTGGGATGTGCTATATAAATGTACTTTTTGACTTTTTGGTTAAAAAAGTAGAGAAAAAAAATGTATATTTAGGTTAACTTTTTGACTTTTTACGAAAAGATATGTAATAAAATATTATAGTAAAATCAAAATGACCATTTTACCCTTTTAACTTTTTAGGTAGTTGAATTCAAATGGCAAAATAATAATTTTGTCTTAGTGGCTTCCCCCCACAAGCTACCCTTGAATAGTATAGACTTTTTAACTTTTTTAATAAATTTTTGACTTTTTAACTTTTTAGTTTATCCCAAACAAGGCCTTAGTATATCTAATATTCATATAATTTTATTAGTAAGATTAAGAAATCAGATTTTAATACTAATTTAAACACATAACCAAATAAAACACTTTTTAAAGATAAAATAAAATTTTAAGATTTTTCTATAATAAAATCTTAAGATTTTTAATTAGGTAGGTTATTTCACTAATTTATAATACTTATATATTTTATTTTTGTACTCTTTTTAAGGACTAAAAAGATTTGAATTAAATATGTTAGGAATTTAATAGATTTAACTGATAGCTTAAGGAGTAATTAGACAATTTGACAATAGTTTAAAGGTAGAAAGTGTAATAAACCCAAAAAATAATGAGAAAATTACACTACCCAATTATCAATTTAATGAAACAAAAATTAATTTTAGTGAAAAATAATTAAAAATTTGGAAACATTTTTTTTTATTTTTTTTAATGAAAAAATAATTTTAAATATTTTTTTTATTACTTTAATTTTTTATAATTTTATAAAAAAATTAGAGGTAAATTACTTCAAATACGAATTGCTAATAGTATTAATAAAAAAATAAAATTTCTAAATACTCTTAAAATTATAAATTGAAATATATTTATGATATTGTTAATAAATTATTAAGAATCGATTTATGGGTTTAGATTTTTTAGACTTTGATTAATGGATATGTTTAGATACTAATTCTATTTAGAGAAAATAGTAATTTATTATGCAATTATAAATTCTAAATAGATAATTTATTATGCAATTATAAATTTGAATGAATAGAATATAATTTTCAAAATTATAGAATTCATATTTTAAAAAAACTTTGATGTATTTATAATTTATCAAAAAATTAAATTATAAAATTCGAACAAAATACTCATCAAACCAGTTAAATCTTGCCACGTCACACTTTTTTTTGTGGAATTGGGGTGGTTACCTCACCAAACCAATTAAATCTTGCCATGTCAGCACAAAGGGTGTTTTTTTTCAGTTGCAATTATGAAGTAATTTATGTTAGTAACGTTTCTGTCTCAAATTTTAATTTTGATTTTTATATTGAATTTTTTATTCATTTTAAAAAGAAGATTTTGTCAAAATTCTGTCATTATAATTTGGGGATTTTGATATTAAGATTTTATAACATAAAAGACACGTAATATTTTCATAATGCCTAAAGTCTCTCAATATCGATACAGAAAAAGTTTGATCCAGAGAATTTCTCTGAACGAATTTTCTCTAGACTCACAGAGAAATTCTGGTTCACAGAGAATTTCTCTTGATTTCACATAGAAATTCTCTCCAAACCAGAGAAATTCTCTCCAAATCAGATAAATTTTCAGAGAAATTTGTCTCATTACGTGCAGATAATTACTCTGGAATCAAACTAGAGAAAATTGAAATTTTTCTAAACAAAATTGTTAATTTTTGAAATTAGACTTTACAAATACAAAGCAATTCACTGTGCTCCATTTGGAATACTTGTATATTCACCATTGCAATGGCCCAGATAGTGAGAGTGAGAGAGAGAGAGAGAGAAAGCTTTACATCAATGGCGTTTACTTACAAACCAGAAAAATTATCTCTGATTTAATTTTTTGTGCTAATTTTCTTTGTGTGATGACCAGAGAAATTTGTTCATTTTCTCTGGCCAAATCACATACTCACCTTGTGATTTTCTCTGGCCAAACTACATACTCATCCCTCATCTCTATGTTAAACAACAATCAATAACTAATATTGAAATCAATTTTCTTTTACAAGCACATTGATATAATCAAATCCTTTACCAATCAAATCCTTTACTTCTATAAAATCCTTTACTTTTATAGAATCAAAATCGATCAACAACAAGAACAATTCACAATTCATCAAACACAAAGAAGTTATTAATTTACACAAATATAAAATTCTCCATTTAAATCTAAATACACAAAACATATTCAAACATGTTTTATATATATAAATTTGTATACTAAATTGCAAAATTAAAACCTAGGGTAAAAAAAGCAATTAGAGAAAGAACTGTGCGACATGGGTTACTTTTGCAGAGGAGACCTAGATGATAACAACAGCAGCAACTAGGAACAAACCAGCTTTATATCTCCAACTCGTTATGAATCCACCAAAGCCCTAGAAATTAAATTTGCAAATTTAATCAAAACTAACAAAGATCTGTGTTTTTCTCTTCGATATTTTAGTAAATTCACGATCTTTCACTGTTGTCACTAACACAAAAACCAAGAAAGAAAAAGAAAACAAAAACCCAATGCTAAAATCACCACTCCCCTGCTTCTTTGTTGGTGACAGAGGCAAAGTTGCGGTGATAGAGACGTAGCTACGGCGGTAACGACAGTGGCAATGAGGGACGTTGGTGGTGGTTGGGGAAGAGAGAAGAGGAGATAATGATGGAGATGGTGACGGTGATCGCGATCTGAGGCGATGATGGTGGTGGCGATTTGAGGCGAAGATAGAGACAACGGCGACGGTGAGAAGCCAGAGATAAAAGAAGAGAATGAGAGAGATAGATCTAAGGAAAGACAGAGAGAGAGAGAGAAAAAAAAAAACTAGGGTTTTGAACTGGTAGATGGAGATAAATTTGGTAGAGATCGATGGGAAGGCAAAGGCGATCTCGTCGTTGAGATCGACGAGAAAGAGAGAAGAACAACGAGAGTGAGAGATAGAGAGCGTGAGATACATCAAGTTTCTTTGTGATAGATGGGTGTGGGGTTGAAGGACCTTAAACATCAAAAAATAATATTGTGAATCTCTTCCATTACTAAAGATGGAAGAGGAACTTTAGACTAATTTTCCCTTATAATTTTTATATTTGTATCCCTCAATTCCTAGCCAAAATATCTCCACAATAAATGTTTCAATGATTTTCCTCTCAATCATTTTTAAAAAAAAAAAAATTAAAAATAAATAACTTTTGATCTATATTTCTGTTTTCATTTCATCAAACAATACTAATGATAAACTTAAAATTTGAAAAAAAAAATGTAAATTTTCACAATATTCGTTGCTATCTAGTCAATGAAATTTCACTATTTTCAATTAGTGATATTTCACCGATGACAATTTATTGAAATTTTCAAATGAGAGCTAAAATTTGCAATATTGAGGGTTCATTACAAGAATTAAAATTTTAATTTATAATTGGAGCCTATCAGATTCAAATTTTTTGATGATTTCACACTTATTCAATAATACTTTGAAATCTCAATTTTTATAAAATAGTAGCAAATAGTGAAGTTTATAATTGGTGGCTCAACCTAAGGACTTTCACCAATTATTAAAAAAAAGAATAGCATAATCTTTATCGCTTTCTTTCATTATATTTTTCATAATTATCATGTAATTATATAATTTGAAAACTTCAGATGTCTGTAATAATTTTATGATGTTATACATACAATAATTTTTATAATATAATCCTATTAAATTTATAATTCACATTTATCAGGTCATTATAATGACTAAATAAATAAATTTAATCTTACAATGTCGAGCAAAATAGTGGAGTCCTCTACTTCTTTGATGGACTAGCAGTGTAATCCTCAACTTTTTTAACAGACAAGTGTTTTATTTATTTTCTAATATGTTAGTATACGCCCAAAAAAATATATATATATTTATTTTCTTTTTTGTATTAATCTATGCTTTAATCTTTCGCATTCATCTCCTCAATTACTGTGATTTGTCTCGTTCATGTTAAAACTTTGCACACCTTATTGCCATAAGCTCAAACCTCAAACATTTATCACAAAAACTATATATACTTACATGGTAATTATGGAAAATAGAATAAAAGAAAGCATTCAATAAAGATTTTTAATTTTATTTTATTTTTTTGGGGTCTTTTTCTATGAAGTCAATTGTTAAATTAGCATCTTACAGAGTTGAATTGCCAGTTTTTCCCTTATAAGCACTTAAGAGCATGTTTGATTATTAATCTATTGGATAATTTATCCTATTAATTCAATTAGATAGTGAATACTACACTAAGTTGATATGATTATTAATACTTCACTATTAGTCTTGTAAATCAAACATGACCTAAGTGTGTTATTTTCATAATTACTGATTAAGATCTTTCAGATAAAAGACTGATTTGTTCACCGTGTTCTACCACTGTGAGAGGCGGAAAGGGTTAGCCAGCAACCAGAGAGGATGGGAGCATGACCACCAGTGAGAGAGAAGGAAGGGAGGTGGCAGAGAGACATTTGTTTCAAGATTTGCTTTTAAATTTATTTTTAGTTGAAGCAAAACAACATCTTTTTTTTCTGCAAAAGCGCATAAGTGGACTAAATTATGTAATGTTTTAAAAACCATGAAAGGTCACTTAGAATCTCAATAATTTTTTTGGCACAAATCATTAGAAGATAACACATGCTTAAATAGATGGATTCCAAATCAAATTATTTAAATTTAAATTTTAAATAAGATTATTTTCAACAATCATCTTCTTTAAGCTAAGAGTTGTTGAATTTTGGGTGTATAAATATTGTAATAATTTTTTGACAAGGAAATTTTAAATCTTTAAGCTTAGAGTTGCTGTGGTGCTCAAAATCAAGCATTAACACCAAGTACTCACTACTCAAAAATTCCTTTTGTGACTCCTTTTTTAACAAATATTACGTACTTTCTTGATAAAATTATAATAAAAATCAAGCTAACCAAATAAATGAGCAAAATCAAACAAAAATTAATTTCTACAGTCAAAAGAGCAAAAACCAAATGAGCTCATAGAGCCAATATCAGAAGTAGAGATCATACCAAAACATATTCTTATTTTAGCATTCATCCATTGTGATAAAACACAACCAAAAATTTTCAACTAACCAATAAAAGAAAAGATCTAGTACTGAAAACAGTAATTGAAACACAAAATTTGAAATCATCCTTGGACATGAGAGAATTCTCACATGACTCAAAAGCAAATGAAAGTTCATAGTAATAGATGCATTCTCAATCCTTTTAAGCTTTGACCCGTCCATAGAACTTGGCCTTTTCCTGGGATGTCTGGAAGCGGCCATGGCCAAACTTGGAAGATGTATCGATGAACTTGAGTTTAATCTCCTCCATTGCAACCCTAGATGTCTGTGTCAGCAGAGTCTGCCTCAAGGTGACAACACGCTTCTTTGGGCCCACACAACAACCTTTTATCATCAGGTAATCATCTTTCACCACGCCATAATGCGGAAATCCTCCCATTGGTGTTATATCCTTTTATCATCAGGTAATCATCTTTCACCACGCCATAATGCGGAAATCCTCCCATTGGTGTTATATCCTTTTCAGTCCTGCAGGCGGCAAAAAAAGCATTAGACATCCTTTTGCTAAAAAGGACTTTATGCCCAAGGAACCATTAGGAAATCATAGCTGGAAATCAGCTGGCACTTGTATTTTGTTGTTTCTGAAGTTTCCGTAGGGTTCAAGAATGCTAAAATCAGCCAGTCCATAGTTCAAAATGATAAACCATGGCAGACTAGGTTCAAGAAGCCATTAAATCAAAGAGCAGCAGCACGTACTTCAATTGAACCAGCTAATGCAATATTGAAGTGCTCCAAAACAAGACCAAAGGAACACCATGAAAAATCCAAAACTAATAAAAAAGATGTAAAAATGTAAGGCTAAGTTTGGCAACTCTTAAAAATCTAAAAAGTCATTATCTTATTTAAGTCATATCACTTCTTTAACATATGATTTCAAACCCAACCCAAACCCAATCCATATTTTATAAAAAGTCAAAAAGTACATTTATAGGGTAAAGGAAGAATTTCCAACCTGTCGAACTCAGTGATGCCGGAATGAGACTCCTGACCAGCCTTTGCAAGCTTGTAAATCTTCTTGTTCATCTCTGTGCGATGATGGTAGCCATTCTGTCCAGCCCTGGCAACAGTGAATGAAACCCTAGCAGGATGCCAGGCACCAATACAAGCCACCTTGCGAAGCCCACGGTGAGTCTTGCGAGGGAGACGAGTTACCCCCCACCTGGTCACCACACCCTCGTAACCTTTACCCTTGGTCACTCCAATAATGTCAATCATCTCATCTTTCTGGAACACAGCATCAATGGGAATATGCTTCTCAAAAAAGCTATACGCATAATCAACCTTCTTAGCAACATCTCCACCATTAACCTGAACCTCCATCAGGTGGGCCTTCTTCTGCTTAAGACCTTTCATCTTTCGAATCTACAACCAAAAACACAGAAACAAAGCTATTTCAGGAATTGAATGGAAGCACAAGCAAAGAAGTTTCAAACGGTACAGCAAAACTCAAATACCTGGGTATGAGCTAAGACACGAATCACAGAGCAGTACTTCTTCATTTTCTCCAACTGTGCCTGAATGTCCTTTTTACCTTCATCATTTTCATATTTCTTTGAATACTTTGTGAAGGCCTTCTTCTTGGACTTGCACCAATTCTTGTAAAATCTCCTCTTCACCTCCTCATTAAGATGCTGGGCCCAAACAGTACTAAGAGAGCGGAGGCCACGGGGTGTTTTAACATAACCAACAACCCCAACAACAACCATTGGTGGAGTTTCAACAATTGTCACTGCTTCACAAGTTTCCTTTTTGTGGAGCTCTGGGTGAAAAGGAGTTTATCAGTAACACAACCTCATATTTATAAAATGACCAACTAGAATTTTCCACATCTTATTTATTAGAATATCTTAGTATTTTGCCAATTAAATCAATGAGACCACTTCAGTGATCTGACACAGTTCTATGGCAGCAGAATATATGGAAAACAAGACAAATATTTGAAATGAAAGATAATCAAAAAGCTACTTTACTTGCAATGTAGGAAGATGGAAGTGCCATCTAAAAGTAAACTAACACCAAATGACAGCAGAAGCAAGCAGCAAAAGAAAAAAAAAATCATACAAAATTCAACTTTAACCGCTGGCTATTCACTTAGAAATCATTGGCATAAGAAACATTTCTGCCCTGCCTTGCCCATTTGAATGCAGACAAAACAAAAATAAGTGGGGATAACCAACCATGTTAGTCCACAACCCGGGGATTGATAGGCGAGTTGAAGAAAATACGGGGAAAAAAAATCATTGCCAAGCAGGGGCAAATGAAAAACTTACTCGATCCTGGCTTTTCAACTTCTCTAACAATGTGTGTCATCCCAGCCTTGTAACCCAAGAAAGCAGTCAACCTGCATGGCTTTGATGGATCATCCTTAGGGAAGGCCTTCACTGCATTAACAACCACAGTGACCAAAAGTCAGGAGCCGAGGGCACCATACATAAGTTTCTACATCCAGAGTGGGCAATGCATTAAAGGAACTATTTTTTTTTTTTGAGATATAAAAAAGTTTACAAAGATGCATAATTGCACCAGTTAAAACCACAAAAACAATATATTCTTCACATCATAGTATAAAAATATTTGGAATATTTGGAAACAATCAATCAAATCACACTTGTCATGAAATGTTAAACAAATAATAATACAAATAAAAGGGCTAGATATGTCATTTAAGTTGCAACATATCAAAACTACTTAAATTAGCCAAAACAACTAAAACATATCACGGATATAAGAAAAATTAGAAACCTTTCCCACGGTGACGAGCAGCCCTTTTTCTTGGAAGAAATCCCAAGGAGCCATGCCTTGGGTGCTCAAACTTGCGATGAGACATGCTTCTTTCCTTCTAAATTCTCTGCAAAACTCATGGAACTTATTTCTGTGTCTTTACACAATTGATGAAAAAGCCTCAAACAGACATGTGCGCACAACAAGCATTGAGGATTCAAGAGCCGCAAAACAGAATAGAAGTTTGTATAACTAACAAGTACATACCATGTGTGTACAATTATGCATCATGGGGGGAGAGAGAGAGAGAGAGGCTTCATTTCAAACCCTTGCAACTAATTCAAGCATAATATATTATAGTTCATAAAATGCCAAAAAAACAATAATATCAAGTAATGAATATTTCCTCCTCAAATGGGGACACGAGACCAAAAATTAGGATGTACAAAATCAACTAAAAACCTTCAAAAGAAATTTTTACAAAAATACTACCTGTTTTAGTAAATATTCAGTTTCAAGCAAATAGTAAAAATTTGTACAATAAAACAATATAGAGAGAAGATACCTTTTGACTCAAAAACATATGATATTACCACCGGTCCAGAGAATGATACGAAATGCTCCCTTACCAAAGGCCTATGGCACAAATTATGCCAATTCTCGAGCTCATTGGTGTTTCTTTCCAAATACCCAAAATTGGAGTAGTGGTGAAAGAGCCCTATTGAGACTCCAGCCTTGATTATGTAGTTTATGGGAGGACATTTCAAGCATCACATGGAAAAGGGTAACATCAAAATGTCTTCAAATGGCAAGGCACTCGAATTAATACATGGAATTCTTTCATAATCTACATACAAACTTTTTAAAACTAAAAAAGTAATAAAATACCAGTAATCAGGAAATGAAAACCCATATCAACTTATTATCCAGAAGTTAAAAATATATATAAAAAGGGACAAAATATAATTAACCCTATTTTTATCCGTGTATATAGATGTGAGATGTAGAACATGTAACTTTTTTCACTTCCATATACATATATAGACAGATAGATAGATCGATCTAAGTCACAAGCTTGCATTGGATTCATACACAATCTAACAGGAGGATCCCAGGCATCAGATCTATGTAATCAGACAGTAATCATCGCCAAACACTGTTTGATTGCTAAGAAAATGAGGGAAATGTAAGTACATAAACAAATAACAAACTATCTCAATGGTACAGTAAAATTCCAGCAAAATTTGAAGAGTTAATTTCGAGAACCAAAACCATCATAAGATTAAAAACTCAAATTCCTTCTCTTTTCCTCAGCTTTCTCGGCAACTAAAAATTCGATTAAAATTTCAAAAAATTGAACGATTACCTCGAATCAGATACTAGAGAGAACGAGGCGCGCTATATGTTCGCTGTGAAACCCTAGGTCTGTGAGTTCAATCTTTTAGCATTTATATCGTCTTTCTATAGACGATTGAACGGCTACGATTAACTCTGAGGCTTTATTATCAGCCGTTCGTTAAGTTCCGGCTTCTATAACTGTTGAAAACCCTAGTTTTGCATCGGCAAGTGCGCCTTCTATATTTGGACAAGTCCATTGGGTCCAAAAAGGCCCAAAAAAACATCAAAAAAAAAGGACCTATATCAGTGGCCCATCTCAACAGTTTTGAGAGTGCCACTTGTATCAATAAAAAATTCTGAGCCCAAAATCAATTGGGCCTACTTTATTGGGCCTAAATTTTCATTCACATCCCCTTTCTCGATAAGAAACGTGGCAAGGACAAGACATCACAAATCCGGTCCCGTTCGATTTTTTGGGGTGTTTGGTGGAGTTTTTTTTAGTCAACTTATGGCTTTTGGTTTTTAAAAAGTTATTTTGGACTGTTTGGTTAAACTTATTTCAAACAGCTTCTGATTCTAACAACTTATTTTAATTCAAAAAAGCTGATTCTGAGAAGCTGCTCATCCCTTGCTTCTGATTATCAGCTTCTGCTGTAGACATGTTAATTCACGGTTATACTCTTAAATTTTTTTTATTTTTTATTTTTTTTTAAAAATAGAAAAGACCCAAATGGACTATAAAATGTTATTATTTTTTTATGAGAAATATAGACAAATAGTGAATAATAAAAAATAAAAATTAATTGAAAAAACTACTTCACAGCTTATTTAACAAACACTACTCAGCAACTTAAATCTATAATCCAACAGTTATACCAAACAGATTAACAGCTTCTGATTAAAGTCATAATCTATAATCTGTTAAGTTACAATCTATAATCTGTTTTAACAGCTACACCAAATAGCACCTTTGTATAAGGATTCTCTAAGAAGTGGATTGGTTGTCACTTCCTAACTTTCAAAATTATATCATTTTTTTATATATTTTTTACATATTTTTTTTTTTATAAAAAATTAAAAAATTAATTTTTAATCATCTCTCCAAAACAACAGTAGTCAATGGTACGAGTCTAGTGAGATTCAAGGATTCAAGTCTTGTTATATGCAAGATTCTTCTTCTTTAAGTTATCGTCTCTGAGGTACACGGAAAAAAAAAACCTGTTCCCACAAATTTTTTGCACAATATGAATGTGTAAACTAATGCGTATGGTGCTTTTGTTGCACGATGGGCTATCCATGTGGAGAAGGCGCAGTCTGCGTTAATAATGGAGGCCTTGGCAGTTGGAGTAGCAATCATGCTAGCTGTGGACTTGGGTTTTGATTGCATCATTTTAGAAGGTGATTCTCAACTAGTTGTGGGTATGATTAATGGGTCAATAACTGTTGATGGTCATATTGTAATTATCATTGAGGATGTACTGTGTTTACGGCAGGCATTTGAGGTGTATCGGTTTGGTTTTAGCCGATGAGGACAGAACACAGTGGCACATCAAATGGCAAGTTTTGCAATTAATGGAGCTGGAAGCATTCATTGGAATGATTCCTCTCTGGCTTTAGTTAATGAGTTCTCTGCTTGAGGAATCTTGAGGGCTCGTTTGGTTTGATTTTCTGAAAAAATTTTGGGAAATTTTCTCTACAAATAAGTTTTCAAAAATAATCAAACCAAACAAATTTTCCCAAAAAAATTTCTCAAAACTTGTAAACCAAACAAGTTTTCCAAACAAATCTCTCTCTCACACATATCAAATCAATCACTTTTTCCAAAACTCTATCTCAAAATAATTTTCCAAAACATCTTTTAAAAAAAACTAAACCAAACATGTTTTCGTACTTTTTATCTCTAAAACACATCTCTCAAACACAAACCAAACATACCCTGAGTGTTTGTGTTATCCCAAGTAGGCAACTCAAGAGAGGGGTGAATTAGGTTATTAAAAATTTTACAATATTAAAATTAACACAATATTCAGAATTTTAACAAATAAAATAAAATAAAATAATAATTATCAATATAAAAGTAAGAGAGATAGGGAGAGAAAATCAAGCACCGATATTTATAGTGATTCGGCACGCCAGGCCTACGTCCACTCCCCAAGGAACCTCTTTGAGAATTTCTTTACTATCAATTGAATAAATACACCACCAAGCTTGTAGATTTAGCACAAGACTTATTCTTATCTATTGAGCCTCACTGAACAATAAATGCCTTACCCTTACCCTTACCCTTACTCTTACAAAATCTCTCACAAAAATAATGAATAAAAATAAGTGGTACTTAAACCCTCTTTTACATTAATTCTCTCACAAAGAGTAGATATGAAAGTGTAAGAACAAAGGCTACACTTAGATCTGAAAGTGAAAGAGCAGAATACAATATGCTCAGAATTTTGGAACACATAGAAATTTTTCTTTTTAAGTTCTTGATTTTTCTCCACACACAACACTTCTATTTATACACAAAAATATACTCGTTGAAGGTAAGACGCTCCTTACTGACGTCATGGATGACATGGGCACCTTTTCTTTTGTTAAATTATAAATTTTCTTTGTTCACTTTTTCTTTTTCTTTTTGTAAGAAAATTCAAAGCATTTTGTAACTTTTTTCCTTTTTCATTCTGCAGGCAAAACATGTTCAAAGATTTACAATGAAAGATTACATAAGTCTTCTCATGTAATCATTATATTATATTATATTATATTACTTGCAAGACTTTGACTATACATATAATATTTACAACTTTGAATTTAAACAAGCAATATATGAAATTATTTGCTCCATCTTTTTCTTCTTTTTTATTATAATATATATATATATATATATGACATGATATAATCAATTGTATAAAAAATCTAATTGCTCACGTGATGTATTCTATTTATGTTATATGCATTATATATAATATGCTAAACAAATATATGCATATATAGTAAAAAATCTCTTTAAGCAATATTTATGATAGATCTGAACATATATACCATTTTTAAATTTCTATATATGTTGTAAAGATTTTAAATTAAATATAACCTATCACTCCATGCAGATATATCACCTTTGTCAAAAGAAGGCAACTTATCAATATCAAATTTATCAAAATAATACAACCAATCAATATCAAATTTGTCAAAAGATGAATAGTAATCAACCTAATTTTTCAAAAAGTGAATAGTAAAGTTTTCAAAAATATTTTTTATTTAAATAATATTTAACAAATGTATCATACAATATATATTTTAAATAGATAATATTTTGTGTCAAATAATATAAAATATGTATATTATTTACAAATTTTTGATTGATGTTTTAGACATCATCAAAATTATACAACATGATTAACAATCTCTCCCTTTTTTATGATGGCAATATTTGTATGGATTTGACACAAAATAAAAATCAACAAGTTATTTGATAATTTTGTAACATAAAATATTTAAACCTTCTCGTATAATCCTGTTGATCAAGTCTGCGCTCCTCCAAACGTCGTCGCTTTACTCCCTGAAAACACAAACGTGAGCTAGTCGGCGAGTGTATGCCAGAAACCCCTCCAATGCCTAAGTCAGAAAAAATAGACAAAGACAAAAAGCTCTGTGTATCAAAGTTGTGTTACCTCTCCATAGGTGATGTTGTGAGCTTTTATAGGTTCCGTGTGGCACAATCCTAGTAGGACTCTTACTCCTCCATGTAGAGTCCTCCTAGGAGTCATACTCCTGAAAGATAATGCTTATCCTTCAACACCCTCTTCACTGCTTAAACCAAGTGAGATGGTTTTACCATGGTCGGACTCCAATATGACCGAGGTAAGCCTGGCTATGCTAAGTCGTAGACTAGACCGAGCTAACTTTAGTTCGGCTCTTCCATTCATTGCTCTTACCCCCGTTTCTCCCAGTGCTAACCATGGTGTGATCAGACCGAGCTAAAAAACAGCAAGGCTTTGGCTGAGATAACCTCGATAAGCCATGACCGGGCTAACTTTGAGTACGGCAACCGGGCTATATTCAAAGCTTCTCTTAGACCGGACTAACCTCAAGATTCTTTCGGACTGTGATAACAATAAGGCTTACTAGGACCGGGCTAACTACAAGCCCTCTTTCATTCAGCCCTTCTTACTGTGGCCCAAAGAACGGCCTATTTACCCAGCTTGGCCCATTTAGGTATAAATTACCCTCTCAATTGCCCCTTAATTCCATCTGCGCAGCATGATAGGGATTTACTTGTTTTACCAGCCGAGCTAAAAACTATAGCCTTACAATTGAGCTAAACTTTTAAGCCTTTACAGTCGTGCTAAGACTATTTAGCCTTCCCAGCCGAGATAAAACTCTTTAGCCTTTCCAACCGAGCTAAAAAAAAAAATTTTTTAGCCTTTCCAGCTGTAGATACCCCATTTTTGACCGTCCTCAAGACTTGGACGTCACCATTGGAACACTTGGTGATTACCCTTGTTTGTGTTCGTTTGGAGTTCCCGGAGGTCTCAGCTACGCGCCCTGCCTCAGGATCTCCGAACTTGACCGTTTTGTGTCTGGTTTTGCACCAAACACTTGTGTTTTGCCTTGGAGGGGCGGGAAATGCCTTGTGAGGCATCCCCACACACCACCGGCCATGGCCAGAGGCCACCGGTTGGTTTTTGTTTCCATCGGCAATCTATTTTGCCGGTCGGCACATTTTGTTGCCGGTCGGCACTCCCTTTTGCCAAAATGGCATCTTTGGCCGGCCGACTACTGTGCATCTGCTTTTACAGATATTTTATCACAACTGTCTTGCTTTTGGCTCCCCTCTATACACATGTATGGAGGGATCTCTCTCTTTAGAAGCTTGTCTTGTAAGCTTTACAAGACAAAAGGCTCTATAAGAGAGAGCCTTCTCTCTTGGCTTGAGGGTTAGACACTTGAGGCACTTTAGATATTTTTAGACAGCCATTTTTAGGGTTTTGAGTTCTAGGATTAGAATCCATACACTTTCTATCTCTATATCTCCCTCTTGTGTGTGCTTAAGTGTGTTTGTGTCTTACTATTGCACACAAACACATAGTATTTCACCTTCACTTAGCTACTGAGGTTTTAAGAGGTTGGTTTTGAAGTTTTGGAGCTGTTTTCAACCTAAAAGGGGCTGTTGGAGCATCAT